ACGATTATAATGATAATGGCGCTTATGCTGATTACGTTTTACCAAAATGATGATGGTGAGGAGGAAGAGGAGCAGGATGAGGAGGCGGAGTAAACAATGGCGAGGGAGGGGATGATAATATGATAATGAGGGAGGTGGACGAACGTATGATGCCTTGAGTGGAGGAGAGGCGACGAGGGGAAGTGATTGGCGCTTCGCGCCACGCACTTTGGTCCTTCAATGTCGGCTTGTGGGCGACATGAGGGAGATGTACATGAGTAACAGCAGCGATAACTGGTTGTTGTTGTTGTTGTTGTTGTCTTCATCGTTGTCGTCGCTCTAATGTGTGTTTCATTCCCCGTTCCTAATCTCTCCTCTTCCTCGTTCTCGACCTACCCTGCGAACCCTTCCGCGTCCTTCTCATTTTTTTGTTGCGGAGGCTCATCCTTGGAAAGCCTCTGGGGGGCCTCACGAAATCTTTTGTGGGCCTTCATGGGGGCTTCTGGAGGCCTCCTAGGCGCCTTCAGGGAGCCTCTGGGGGCTTCCTGGGGCCACCTTGCTGCGAACCATTGTCTCCCTCAACGACCAGGTCACGATTTGGAGTGCTTTGGGGGACGTCTTAGGGCTATCTTTGGCCGTCATGGGGCTCTCTTTCGGACCATCTTGGGGCCCTGATGGGCCGTCTTGGGGCTTTTTTCGGATTATCTGCAAGCCCATCCATCCGGATTGTTTTGGGGCGATTATCGGGGTCTTTTGGGCGGTCACGGGCGCCAGAAGACCAAATCATCGGCTATTCAAACATCATACAACAACCATGCGACAATCATTGATGTCTGCATTCGAATGGCCTCTTTGGGGCGTTATTTGGGCCGTCTCCGATCGTCGGGTGGGTTTCTGGGACCGCTCGGGTTTTGTGTAACGCACGCACACGCGTGTATGTATGTACGTATGTATGTATGTATGTATGTATGCATGCATGCATGCATGCATGCATGTATGTATGTATGTATGTATGTATGTATGTATGTATGTATGTATATACGTACGTACGTACGTACGTATGTGCGTATGTACGTATGTATGTATGTATGTATGTATGTATGTATGTATGTACGTTTGTACGTATGTATGTACGTATGTATGTACGTATGTATGTATGTATGTATGTATGTATGTATGTATGTATGTATGCATGTATGTATGTATGTATGTATGTATGTATGTATGTATGTATGTATATATGAATGCATGCATGTATGCATGTATGTATGTATGTATGTATATATGCATATATGTATGTGTGTACATGTATATATATATATATATATGTATATATGTATATATATGTATATATGTATGTATTCATGCATACATGCATGTATGTATGTATGTATGCATGAATATGCAAGACTGCATTGGTGCTTCGCGCCATGCGCCTTGCCTTGTTCCGGACGCTTCCCCGACAGCGCAATAAGTCATCGCTTGCTTCAGCAGGGTGGGGGATCTCGAGTCCTGGACGGACGACAGGTTCATTTTTCTTATATCCCTGGTGCCTGCTGACACCGCGTTCGCCCGATGCTCTTGCACGCTTGTGCGCAGGAAGGGGGCAGGAACAATGATTTTTCACGCGCAAAGGTCCTTTGAGGAAGTGAGGAGCGTTCCCATGACACGCCGAAGAAGTCGCAGTAGCTCCGAACAAATCGATGTTTGGTCGCTTCCTGACAGTCTGGAGGGCTCCAGGCACTCAGGAAGCCTTCGATCTTAGCTTCGAATCTAGATCCATTGCCTGTCTCTCTCGATCGGGGAACTTAAACCTCGAGCCTCAAGCGTGGAACCAAGATCGTCGTGTCAGCTCGATGTACTTCGTAGGAGAACGCCGTCAGCGCGTTTTTCGTGTTCTTTTGGGCCGTCCTGGGGCCTTCTTGGCCCGTCTTGGGGAGCTGGGGCCCTCCAGAGGTCTCCTGAAGCTATCTAGGGCCCTCTTGGGGGCTTCCAGCGGTCTTTTTGGGGGTCTCCCATGGTTGTCGTGGGTCTCTCTTGGGAGCCTTTTGGGGGCATCTGGGGTTTCTTGTGGGCAGCGTCGGGGCTCTCTGGGCCAGTCTTGGGGCCCTCTTGGGCCGCCTTCAAACCTTCTGGGGGGCGTCTTGGGCCGTCTTGGGGCGATATCGGGGGCCCATCGGGCCGTCTTGGACGCTGCGAAGATCCCAGAAGCAGATGTGCTAGAAATATACATTTCTTGCGGAAATGAAGTGTTTTTTTGTTCTTCGGGGCTCGCTCAACGGCCTCTTGGGGCGTCTTGGGGCCTCTTGGGCCGTCTTCAGACCATCGAGGTTCCTCTTGGAGCGCTCTTGTGCTGTCTTGGATCTCTCTTTCTTTTGCTCCTCTCCGATGACCCCCCTGATCGCCTTGAGTCTGCTCGCAAGGCCCGGCAAGGCGCCTTGGGAGGTTCGGAAGGGCCAGCGGACTTTTCCAAGGGCGTCCAGGGGGCCGCCGAGACGTCCGAAAGGGCGTCCGGGGCGTCCCTTGGGGGGGGGGGGCAGTTTAAGGGGTGGGGTGGTGGTGTGTGTGTGTGTGTGAGTGTGTGAGTGTGTGTGTGTGTGTGTGTGGGTTGGTTTATGGGTAATAGAAACTTAAGAATAGGAATAGGAATGTGCATAGGGAACACACACATATATATGTATAGGTGTATATGTTTGTAACTTGTTATATATATATATATATATATGTATGTGTATGCATGTATCCATGTACGTGTACACACATATATATATATATGAATGTTTATGTTTATATGCATGTATGTATGTATGTCTGCATGTATGCATGCATGCATACATGTATGTACGTATGTATGTAAATAGGCATGTATGTATGCATGTATGCATATATATAACTATACATATATATGTATGTATATGTATGTATATGTATGGTTGTATGTATGCATACATGTATATATATAAATATGCATGTATGTATGTATGTCTGTCTGTCTGTCTGTCTGTCTGTCTGTCTGTATGTATGTATGTATGTATGTATGTATGTATGTATGTAGGTATGTATGTATGTATGTATGTATGTATGTATGTATGCATGTACTCATGTATGCATGTATGCATGTATGCATGTATGCATGTATGCATGTATGCAGGTATGCATGTATGTATGTATGTATGCATGTATGCATGTATGTATATATGTATGTATGTGTATACGTAAGTATACGTATGATTCTATATATGTTTGCTGTTTACATGAGTCTTTCCATGTGCGGGAGGGATTGGCCCATAGCCGCATGTTCCTGACTCCCGAGCGACGCCCGGCGCCCCATGGACCAAGGTCTCTCGGGGTCGTCGGTCCTCGCGGCGCTGGTGGGCTGGATCGGGCACTGGGCGCTGGGCGACATCACCAGCCGGCGTGGTCCTGCCGCTGGCCCACGCGGTGTGGGAGGAACCCGCTGCTGCCGCGTGCCGTCCTTGCGGCCCGCACGTGTGCGCCGGCGTGCGGGGCCCTCCCCGGCGCAACGACGAGCTGCTGGCCATCTTCGCTTTGCAGGAGGTTAGACGTTGATGGAGCGTGCCTTGAACGTTGAGGAGCCGCAGGTGCTGGCGGCGCTCGAAGGCTACCCTGGGTCATGGCAGCATCGCGTTTTGCTCATGCGGATCAAAGAGGAGAAATGGGTCACGCTCGGTCTGGGCGGAGTGCTCGAGGTGCTCGACCTGGTCACGTGCGAGCTGGTGCCCTTTGCGCGCGGCGCTGCCGTGCTGGCGCGGGCGGCGGGGGACTGTGCGATGCTGGCGGCCATCAGCGACGCGGAGCTCCTCGGCTACCACGCGGCGGCGACGCGGCTGGCTGGCATCATGGGCGCCGATGGCACCCCTTGTCGCGGGCAGCGGCAACGCATGGCGGGTCGCGGACGCCAGCGCGCCCGAGGTTGGCCTGGAAGTGCCGTCGGGCGGTCAAGGGCGCGGTGGCGCTCGTCTACTGGGGGGAGCCGCGGCGCTTGCTGTTTGCGGAGCTCGTGCCCGCCGCCGAGTGCGCCAGCTGAGAGCGCGACAAGCAGAGCGGCGATGGACGAGATTGGCGGCTGCTCTTAGCTCGTGGTAACGTCTTCGGGTCTGGTCTCGCCCCCTCCTCGCAGGCCGTCGATCACTTCCGACCTCGGGACCTGAGGAAGACGGCCGACTGGCCGCACTCAGGGCCTCGGGCGTTGGTGAAGCTGTTGCGGGCGGTCATCGCTTTCGGACTAGCGCTGTTCACGTGCCATGCTCACTGGGTCCACCAGTCGGGCGTGCGCCCGGAGATCGCGATCGCCCAGGGGCTTCGGATCCACTGCCGGGTTCTCGCGCTGGCCCTCGGGTGCGATTGCCTGGGCGCGGTGTCGCTTGAGCTGATGGGCTGACTGCGAGGAGGCTGCTGCTGATCGAGCGCGCCGTGCGGGTCAGCCCGAAGGCGCCGTCGTTCCAGGGTCTCGGCAAGATGACGGAGCATGCGATGGGCGAGGTCGGCGGTCTCGCGACCCGCGCGTTCGCGGCGCGCGTGGCCGCGCCTGGCGGAGCGGGGGCCCCGGGCCCTCGAGCAGAACCGGCTACTGCGGGAGGGGCTGGCCGCCGAGGTCAAGGACCGCGACGAGGGCGGCGACGACGACCAGAAGGGGGGGGAGAAAGACCAGCCCAGCGGCGCCCAGTCGGGCGGCGGGGGCAAAGGCTGACGGCCGGCTGCGGCCCCGAGGGAGTGGGGCCTCAGCTCCCTCGGGCATTGCTCGAGGCCCCTCTGCCCTTGCTCTTGCGCGCGAAGGGGTCGGGCCAGTCGCCGGGCCTCCGGCCAGTCTTCCCCGGCCAACGACGTCGCCCAGTGCCCGGGCGTGCTTGTTTCAGGCGCCGCGGTGGCGCTGTCTGCCCTTGCGGAGGCGCATCCACGGCTGCCGCTCCTTCGTCGGCACCGTGCGAGCAGTCTCGCTCCTGTGCGCTGCTCTCCCCGGCATTGCCAGGCGATGGAGCGGCTGCGCGCCTCCCCTGGTCCGCTGCTGGCCGACTGGGGCGTGCCCCCTGTCATGGGCGCCCTGGCGGGCTTGCTGTGCTCCGACGACTTCTGCGCCGCGGCGCCGCGTCGGGTGGCGCGGCCCCGGGGTCCAACGACGCGGGCGAGCTTCGGGCGTCGAAGGCCGACTTGGCGCCGAAGGGCGCGGCGGCTGTAGCGCCCCAAGAGGCGGCCGAGCTCAACGACCACCCGCGTGTGCGCATCTTGAAGCCAGACTCCGAGCTGCGGAACGATGCGGGCTCGGGGCCCATGCGCGGCCAGCCTTGCTGGGGCCCGATCCTGAGGGCAGCCGCGCCAAGAAGCGGGAGTACCTCAACGCCCTCGCGAGGGCTGGTCCTCTCGCCTGGCGGCGACGGGTTCGCTATCGAGTGGGGTGCTTCTTCGTTGAGGAGAAGGGCTCCACGCTGCGCCTGGTGATCGAGGCGAGGTGGGCCAATCGCGCGTGTCGCGCGCCGCCCTTGAGTCGGCTGGCGGTGCATGGCGCCCTCGCGCGGGCCTCGGCCAGACACGAGTCGTTCTGCTTGATGCGGGGGCGGCATGGGCGCGTGATCCAGGCCTGCGTCGCGTCGGGCGTCGGGGCCAGCATCGGCGCCGCGGTCAGCGAGGCGTGCGACGACGACCTCCGGACCATGGACCTCGTCGAGGCGTCCGATGTGCTAGAGGCGTGCTTCCTGGGCATGGCCGTGGGATGGTCGTGGGCTTTGTGCTTCCGCAATGAGACGATCTCCGAGTGCATGAGGGGGGCCCTGCGCGAGGTCGGGCTGCTGGACGTCCTTGTCGGGGGCCGGCGGCGTCCTGCGTGGTGCGGGCCCCGCGTGCTGGCCGTGGCCCCGTGCGTCGATGGCGCCGACGTGCTGGCATTGGGGCGCTCCGAGGGGCGCCGTATCTACGAGCCGGTGCTTGCGGCGAGTTCCTGGGGGTGGTGCTGGGCGGCCCGAGGCGGCGGCTCCGGCGCGCGGCGCGGCGCCGCTGGCGGCTGTGGACGGCGCTCGGGCGCGTGCTGGTCCAAGGGCGCCTGTCGGGCGACGCCGTGCGGGTCGTGTGCGGCCACCTCTGCCGCCGCTTCGGACTGCGCCCCCCCTTGCTCTCGATCCTCCAGAGGGTTTACGCTTTCGCTCGAGGGCACCTGGGGGCCGTCGCTGTGCTGCCTGCCGACGTCTGGGACGAGCTGTGGGTGGCGCGCGCCACGGTGCCATTCGCCGACTCGGACCTCGGGCGGCCGTTGCGTCGGGCCATGTGGTGCTCAAGCGCGTCGATGCACGGCTGCGCCCTCCACGACGCCACCGCGGGTCGTGCCGAGGACTTCGACGTGGGCCAGTGGAAGGAGCGCTGGGGGTTCCGTGAAGTGCTGGAATGCGTCGACCGCGGGCCCGACGCCGCCCTGGCCGCGTCCGCCCTCCTGACGACGGACGCGGGCCAGGACTGGGCGACCGACCCTGATGGCGGGCGCGGTCCGCGACGACCACCGAGGGCCCAGCGCGGCCGTCGTTGCGCCGGCGCAGCTCGGAGCCCGCCGCCGGCGCTATGAGCGTTTAGAGGGCGCGGTCCCGCCGCTGCCCAGTCGGCTCACCCACCCTGGGCGCTGAGGCCTCGTCGTGGCTGGCTGCTGGCGACGGCCCGAGGCGATCCGCGTGCTGGAGGCGCGGGCGTCGCTGAAGGGGCTTCGGCGCGCGGCTGGGTCTGCTGGCGGCGCCGACGCGGTGGTCGTCTCCCTCGGCGACGACGTGGGCGAGCTCCTGGCACTGGAATGAAGGTGCTATGGGGAGGTGCTGGTATGCCGGATAATTTCAAAGTAGCCGTAACATAGGTTACGAAAACAGGTGAACAGCGCATATTCGGCAAATGTAAGTTGAATGACATTCTGTTATAAGGTGTAAGCGCTACATGCGCAAGCGGTGCTTCCGGCGCGCAGCGATTGCCTTGCCGGGAAAACCGATTGTAATAGCAGCCCGGGGCGATCATGCGTCTTGCAGCGGCGCGCGGGATCGGCTTCCATGGATCGGTTTTGGCGTCTCTCGCCGCGCGGGCGCACCGTGAATTGGCGCGGCGCGGGGCCTGCCGTCGCCAGTGCGCGTCCAGCAAACTATTGGCGAAGGGCCCGCCCATCTGCAGCAGTTCTGATCGCCGTTTCTGGTGGAATTTCTTTGGGCCGGGGGGCGCGTGACAGAGGCGTGCCGACGTGGGCAAGGGCCGCCGCGCGAGCGGTGCCAGCGGGGTCGGGGCTTTCAGCGGGGCCTCCTGCGGGGCCGCGACGCGCGTGGCAGTTGCGCAAATATGCCGCGCCCAGCCGCTGCCGCTGGGGCCTTCGGCAGGGCCCCCCGTCGAGCCGCGAACTGCGCGAGGCTTCTGCAGGCGCCGCGCGCGGCCGCCGCCCCCGGGGCCTTCGGTGGAGGTCCCCGTGGGGCCACGACGCGCGCGAGCGGTGCCCGTGTGCGCGCGGCCGCTGACGCTGGGACCTCTGGCTGGTTTCCTTATTCGGGAATCGAGCGCGCGAGGGGTGCGCAAGCGTCGGGCGCGGCTAATGCCGCTGGAGCCTGGGGAGTGCAAGTGCCGCGCGCGGCCGCTGCTACCGCGGCCTCGACGCAGTCGCCTGTGGGGCCGCGAAGCGTGCGAGGGGTGTGCAAGTAGGGCGCGCAGCCTCTGCCGCTGCGGCTTTCGGTGGGGCAAATGCTTGAGGGTCCTGCGAGCACCGCGCGCGGCCGCTGCCGTTGGGGGCTTCGGTGGGCCCCCCATCCGGGGCGACGGCTGGGGCCCGCTTCGAGGCCGCGGCATTTTTTCGCAGGGTCATTGCCCTTGAGGCACCGCCCCATGTCGGCGAAACTTTCTTGGCCGCACTGCCGCGGGGGGTGGCGTGGCGCAGACGTCATCTGCTGGGCCGCGCGGCTGCGCCCCTCGCACGGCGCGGCCCCGCCTGTCTGGCGTCGGGGGGCGGCGGGGCTCTCGACCCGAGGGTGCGTGGGGCAGGGGGGTGGGGGGGGGGCGCGGCCCCGTGGGGCAGCCGCGTTCCGTCGCGGGCCTCCTGCAGGGGGCGTCGCGCCATTCTACCTCGCTCCCGCTGGCTGCCCCAGGGAACGAGTCATGTTGCGTTTTTTTTTTTTTTTTTTTGGGGGGGCCTTTTCACCGATCGGGGCGGGTTTATTTTTCGTTCATTGATTCGGCATTTTGGGTGAACAAATATGCGCCCCCCCAGCCACTTATTTGTAGTTCATTTGTTTGCGTATTTTCTGTAGGGAGAAGAGGCGAACCATAGACGAAACATATGCGAAAAATGCGCGCGCGGAGTCGATGGGCGTCTCGCCTATTTCGGCCGCTTAATTTTTCCTTATTTCAAATGGGAGTGGAATTTCCCTTGGGGATTGCGAGTGTGGTGCTTCTTTTTCTGTCGCGTTCATTTTTGGGGTATTTCGATTGGGGCAACTCGAACGCACCTAGACAGATCGCGGCCGCCTGTGGGCCCTGCGCATCGAGACCCCGAGGCGATCGCGCCGGCGTCTGGTGCGGAGCCTCGGGGACATCTTCCGCCGCCCTGGGTCGCCGTGGCCATCTTGCAACAATTCTGGGGGCCGTCGAGTTTGTTGCCCGGGGCGCTGGCGCAATCGGCGCGGGCTGGGCCGGATGCGAGCGGCGCCGTGGGTTGGGGGTCGCCGTGGGGGGTCGCGGCGCAGACGGTCAAGAGGAACACCGGGGTTAATTGGAGAGGGCGGTGGGCAGGATGAAGGGCGCGCGGGGGGGGGGGCGCGATCGGAGGGCGACGGGGGTTTGGGGGGGAAGAGGGTTGGGGGGAGGTGAGAGTTACAGGGGGTTCCACGTCGTCGGCGGCTGTCTGGGGGGCGTTCTTGCTGGCTCACTCGCAATTCGCAGCGGCGGCAGCCGCGCGGGCCGCGGCTGCGTGCTCTCGACGTCATCGGTGCGTGGGGGCGCGCAGGACGTTTTGCCTTCGGCGTTCGCGCGATGATGGCGCAGTAGCCATGTGAGAGCTTGGATCGCAGAAATGTTGGGTGGCCCGTGGTCCTTTGCAGTGGCGAGTCGGCCTGTAGCTTCGCGCGGCCTGGGCCCGCCTCCGCTGATTTTCCCCCGCCCCATCGCCCTGTCCCCCTCGTTCCAAGGGCCCGTTCTCAGCGGCCCCATCGGGGCAGTTCTAGGCGCTGCCGCCGTTCAAGTTCCAGTCGCCCTCCTTTCCGTCCTCTGCGCCCCCTCTTCGCCCAATGCTATTCCCCGGGCGATGTCGCGCGCCTGCCCCCCGTCCTTCTCCTCGTGCGCGGGTTTCATCGGCCCCGTCGTGTTTTTCTTGGCGCCGTCGTTCCTGTCAGTGGCTGCGCAGCTTCTGCCCCCTTGTCTGCCTTCCGCCGTGTCGCCGCCGCCGCTGCCGTCGCAGATGTGGTGTCGGAGATATGCGGATTCGGTGGGGTTGTGTCGTCGGCTCGCAAGCGAGGCGTTCGAGTTGTCCAGGGTGGATCACTTCTGGGCGGGCGCGCGCAGTTGCGTTTCGCGTGTGCCGCGTGCCACTTCGCTAATCCAGCGAACGGTTTCTGCTTGTTTTTACAGCGGAGTCATGCTCTTCATGTATTTCACAGCACCTGGGTAGATCGCGAAGGTGACTGTCCCGGCGAGAGCCCCGGGGAAAACGTATAGGGCGACAGATGGAACCCCGAACGGGGTCCACATCAGTGCAAACACTCTCCGGGGATTTGGGGTGCTGCGCGGACCCCGGGCGGTGCCTGCCTGGCGTAGGGCAAGCGCTGTTTGGGAATCGGCGGTGCGACCGTCGTCGTTGTCGTCGCCGTCCTCCTCCTCCTCCTTTTCCTTTTCTGCCTCCTCCGCGCGCCCCTTCATCCTTTCCTTCCTTTTCCTCGGTAGTGGGCAGAGAGGAAGCAGCGGAGCAAGGGGTGCGCGGACGAAGAGAATTGACATGTTTATTCAATTGAATGTTTTCCTGGATTCTCTGGCGGCCCATGAGTGGCTGCCCTTTAATCCTGGCGCGGGGGCGCGGGCGCCCCTGCGACTGCGCCGTGAAAATTTGTTGTCGCGAGGCGGCCGCGTGGCGGGTGGCTGCCGACCGGCGGGGGGCGTGCGTCGACGCGGGTCGGGGCCCGTCGGACAAGGACTCGCGATTCGGCGATCGCGGTCAGCTGTTGCCGGGCGCCGCGCTGGCGCCCCAGGGGGCTGGCTGCTCGACGGTGAGCTCGACGGCGGGCGGGCGCAGTCTCGGGCCTCCTGCAGCGGGGCCTGGTCGCGGCGGGCCGCCCGGCGGCGGTGTCGCCAACGCCCGACGTCGCACCCGGCCTGGGCAGGGCCCGGGCGCGGCCGCCAGCCAGGCAGCATGCTGGGCGATTCGTTTTAAAGCTTTTCGCAGGCAGCGTTCGCCTGTCTGGAGCCGCCTGCCAGGCGCGGCTGGACGTCGCCGTGTTCATTGAGTTGGAAAGCGGAACCCAGTTCGACGTCCTATGTCAAATTGTTTTGGGACTTCTCCTTGAATGGATTCGGGCTGGACGGGTATGGCGGGTGCATCTGGGGGCGCTTTGCGCGTGGGTCTTTCGCGCTCGCTCAATGGGGCCCTCGCGTTCTCCTATGGCCCGTGCTGGCCTATCCTGCGCTCTCGCTTCGGCTCGTATTCTCCTGGCAGTACTGGCAGTTTCGAAGCGGTGCGATATCTGCGTCGCTGTCGAAAATCCGCTTTCGTCACGGCTTTGGGTCTGGGGGCCTATGCAGACTATCCTCGGCAAATTGGGGTACCTGTCCGTCGATTTCAACGCGTGCCGCCTTGGGGCGCCGCGCCGCGCGCCGACTCGGATAGCTTCGATCCTCCCAGGGCTCGACCAGGCCATCGGGGTTCGTTGCCGATGCACCCCGCCGCGCATCGTCCACGAAGACGGAGTCGCGATCCCGATCTCCTCGGGCCGTTCCTGCAGCGTTTGGGTCGCCGAGCTTGCCGGGCAGCATCCACCGCGGCTCTGCCGCGCCTGCGCGCTGGTCGCAGCGCGGGCGGCGCCGGCCAGGGCTCGGGCTCATGAGCTACGGTGCGGGCGGGGTCCCGCCTGGAGGTGGGCCCACCTGGAGGCCGCCGCCAGCGCTGGGACAGCGCCGGGGACCCCGCGTCCGCCTCGACGCCCGGGGCCCCTCACCATCGGTTGGGAGCTTGCCGTCGACGCCTGGGGCGTTCGAGTTCCCGACGAGCGGCGCCGCGTCGGACCTGCTGGCCCCGCCCCGCCGCGGGCTGCCCCCTGGCTCGGGGCCGGCGAGACGCGGCCAGGGCCCGCGGCGGCGGCGCTCGAGGGATGGGGCCTCGCGGCGAGCTCGGCCCCCGCCAGGGTGCCGCGGCCTGCCGCCGCGACGTCGGCGGACCTGTCTCGCGCGGAGCGGGCCTCTCGGCGGGCGCCCGAGGCCCCGGCGACCGACGACGCGTGCCCGGCGGTTCCCGAGCTGCGCTCCATCGGCCAGGCCACGAAGAACCGCTGCGCCGCCGCGTTCGAGGTTCAAGATCTAGGCGGCGCAGCGGGGTCAGACCGTGGGCAAGATGGCCAAGGACACGGAGGCCCTGGAGGTGCTTGTGCATGCGCGGCGGGCCGACGAGCGTGGCCAGGGATGTCATCTTCGGCGCCATGTTCGAGCTCAGCCAAGGCAAGGGGTCCAACGCGCTGCCGAGGTGCCGCCGGTCGCTCCAGGGGTTCCGCAAGGGCGACTTCCTGGTGTCCAAGGATCCGTGTCCTCGGGGGGCGACGGCGCGTGTGTGCGCGGCGCTCTTCAAGGACGGCTCCTTGCTCTCGGTGCTCAGCGGCCTCGCGTTCGGGATGCAGCGCGACCTCTTCGCGCGGCCGTCCGAGACACTGGGCGTCCTGACGGAGGGCGTCGTGGCTCCGCGGACGGGGGCCTACCCGGGCGTGGCCGTGATCGTGGCCCCCAGACCAGTGCGCGCGGTTGCCGCGGAGGCGGCCGCTCGGGCCGGGTGGCGCGCGCTTCCGACCTCGACGCCCACTGGCGGTGCGCCGACGCCCGGTGGCGCAGCCGGCCAACGGCGGGGAGCTCGGCATCGCCGTCCTCGCCGGGCTCGGCGGCCTGGGCTTCGAGTTCACCCCCGAGGTGCCCATGGCCCTGCAGAGGGCGGCTCTCGCAGGACTCGCAGGTCAGGCCCCGCTGACGCCGCTGACCCCCGGCGAGTGCGAGCGCCAGATCCTGGTGGCGACCGAGCTGGCAGGCCTGAGCCCGCTCCGCGCCGCCCCCCGCTCTGCCCGTCATGGATGCGCCAGCTCGGCCGCGCGGCTGCGCGTCCTCGATCTCGAGGTGTTCCAGGAGCGGGGGCGGTGGCTGACGCCCATGAGTTTCGGGCGATGCGAGAAGTCGGGCGAGCTCATCAGACAGGCGGCGGCAATCAAAGACAATATCCCATAGGGTGAGCTCCTGCTTCGGCCAAGTCATCGTGGGTCCCACAGTAAGATGATGATGGCAGCAGCCAGCTCCGTCCGCCGCCTGAGGGCGCGCGCCCATGTGTGCGATTTCCCAGCCCGCCGACCTTGAGAAACGAATTCATGATTTGGCAAGGTTGGACAGCGTTGGAGCTTTTTGTATCTGTTCGGGGCAGAGCCTCAGGGCCTCTTCCGACGTGAAGTGATATTGTGCGTCTCCCTCCTATTTATGACTGCCTCGGTCCGAGCCAGCTCGTGCGAGACTCGAGGGAAAAATGCTATCAACTTGCTTCGCGACGTGAAGTGTTTGTTTTCTCTCTCTCTCTCTCTCTCTCTCTTTGGAGGCTGCCGCCAGATCCGATGCTGTGTGGTCTAGCCTCTGGGTCTGGTCCGAAATATGTGCTGTCTACACGTGTCTTTCCATGCGCGGGAGGGGTTGGTCCATGGCCGCCCCGCCCGCCCGCCCTATGTGGTGGCTCCGTTCATGCAATGTCTGGGAGAGCGCTCGAGCTTTTTGTTTCTGTTCGGGGCAGAAGCTCAGGGCCTCTCCCGACGTGAATCCCACCAGCCCTCTGGGCGTCGGTGGTTTAGGGCGTTTCTTCTTCCACCCCTCCCTCTTCCCCTTCGGGGAGGGGTTTACCCCTCCCCCTACCCCCTCCCCGCTGACCTGGACAGGAGGGGCGGGGAGCGGTCAGAGCGTCCAAGATGGCCCAGGACGGCTCCAAGAGGGCCTCAGAGAGCCCAAGATCGCCTCCAAGATGGCTCAAGATAGCGCAAGATGCCTGAAGATGGTTCAGAAGACGCTCCATCACGTTCCAAGACCGCTCCAAGATGGTTCCACGTGCCCACAAGAGCATCATTAGAGTGCCCTCAAAAGGCCGAAATGCTTCACCCCCCAGGGAAAATCAATGTTTTTGGTGTTCTCACTTTTTCGCTTCCGAAGCCCATCCGAGGCTTCAAGATGGCGCCAAGATGTCCCAACTGGGCCCCAACAGGGGCCCAATAGAGCCTCAAGACTGCGTCAGCAGCGTCCAAGAGCGCTCCAAGAGCGATCCAAGAGGGGTCCAGGAAGCGATTTTAGACAGTCTGGAGGGGCAGCGCTAATTAAAGCTCTGCTCTTCTTTGATAGATTTGCTCCAAAATGGCTCAATATAGCTCCAATAGGGGCCCAAGAGAGCCTCAGGACGGCTCCAAGAGCGGCCACGAGCGCCCCAAGAGCGATCCAAGAGGGGTCCAGGAAACGATTTTTGGAGCTCCTGGGGGGCGAGCCAAGTTGAGGGACCCTCCTTCGTTGATCGATCTCCTCCTAAATGGCTCCAAGAGACGTCTTGGACTCTCCTCTTGGGCCCTGCGCGCGGGCGGGCGGAGCGCCGCCCGCCCGCCCGCAAGGCCCAAGAGCCCACCAAACCGTTCGAAGATACCTCCAAGACGCCACCAGGGAGGAGGAAGAGGCGGAGGAAGAGGAGGAGGAGGAGGAGGAGGAGGAGGAGGAGGAGGAGGAGGAGGAGGAGGAGGAGGAGGAGGAGGAGGAGGAGGAGGAGGAGGAGGAAGAAGAGGAGGAGAGGGAGGAGGAGAGGAGGAGGAGGAAGAAGGCGGAGCAGAAGGAGGAAGAGGGGGAGAAGAACAGCTGCCGATCATCGGCGCTCTTCGTTCGAGTGCCTGGTGTAGGATGGGCTGGTGGGGATACGCGAAGCGTCAAGAATTGATATTGTGCGTCGCTGTCAGAGTCCGAACCAGCTCGTGCGAGACTCGAGGGAATTAAATGCTGTCAACATGCTTCGCCACGTGAGTTGTTTCTTGTCTCTTTTGAGGCTGCCGCCTGATCCGATGCTGTGTGCTCTAACCTCCCGTTCTTGCTCGGTAATTGCCCCGCTAGCGTCTCGCGTGTATGTATGCATGCATGCATGCATGCATGCATGCATGCATGCATGTATGTATGTATGTATGTATGTATGTATGTATGTATGTATGTATGTATGTATGTATAGTATGGGTTTCAATCATGTCCGTGCGCACATATGTGTATATACTTATAATGCATCGAACATGATATATTCATACATGTGTATGTATAGAATTAGAGAGAACGATAAAGAGAAACATAGAGAGGGAGAGAAAGAGAAATAGAGAGAGAGAGAGAGACATGGTGAAAACTTTATTTATATTGGGGAGAGGGAAAGGATGAGAGGGGGGCAAGCTAGATACACTCGCGCCACAGGTTGCAAAAACCATCACCAATCCCATTTTATGGGTCAGCGTGCGCTTCTAGTCGCCTGGCCGGGTGGTGATCGCACCTTGATCCCCAGATGACATCTGCAGTGCTTGACCAGTTGCCTACAGCAAGCGTGAAGATGTTGTTAGATTAGGAAGGGGGCACATACGGATACACTGGGTGTTGACGATGATACGAAAACGAGGTGGAGTACGATGAAACGGATTACGAAGAGGGTCGCAATGATGTTGAGGAGGTGGATCAGGATTCGGCTGCTGCTGATTGTGGTGATTAGGTCGATGAGCAGGGAAATCATGAGGATGTGATGAGCGATGCTGATCAGGAAGGGGATGATGCTGATGCGCAGGAGGGTGTGGAGGATGACGGGAAGGAGGGGACGGTTGAGGGAGGGGACATTTGGTTGGAATATTGGATCTAGTGCAGTGTGCGAGTGGAGGCGAGAGATTGTTCGTTATCGAGGCGCTTTCATTCACGGCCGCTCTCAGCACGGGCCTCTGGAAGCCCAGGGGCGGGCGGGATGTCTTCGAGAGCCCCCTGCCCCACGTATGGGGGTTCTCACATTCCGGAGTGGAGTAGAGCGTTTTTTGTTTCGTGACGCATCCTTTTCTCTCTCTCTCTCTCTCTCTCTTTTTTTTTTTCCTCTCTCTCTCTCTCTTTCTCCCCCCCTCTCTCTCAACTCTCTCCCCTTTCTCTCCAATCGTTTTTTTTGTTGTTTCCCCCCCCTTTCTCTCTTTTTTTCCTTTCTCTTTCTCCTCTCTCTCTCTCTCCCCCCCTTTTTTTGCTCTCTCTCTCTCTCTTTGTATCTCTCTCTCTCTCTCTCTCGCTCTTGCGGGGGCATGTTCGGAAGCTTCCTTGTTCTCCTACTACTTCTGCCTCCTGCGGCTCCTCCTCCTCGTCCCGCTCGCTGCTGCTGCTGCTGGTCCTCCCCCTCCTCCTCCATCGCCTCTTCCTTTCCGCGGAAGTTCGGGGAGAGTGTCTGGCACCCTCCGGGTCACGCCACGTTGCAGAGCTCGCTGTGAGGACGAGAGAATCCTGGGTTCGCCCTTCGTGAGCACCATCGTGGTAGAGGCCAACCTCCCTTTCCTGGCCTGAGGGACGAGGTAAAATGGGGTAGGAGGAGGAGGAGGAGGAGGAGGAGGAGGACCAGGAGGAGGAGGAGGAGCAGAAGGAGGGGGAGGAGGAGGAGGAGGAGGAGGAGGAGGAGAAGGAGGAGGAGGAGGAGGAGGAGGAGGAGGAGGCCGTCAGTCGCCTTGGGGACGGGGAGGAGGAGGGAGGAGGAGGAGGACCAGGAGGAGGAGCAGGAGGAGGGGGAGGAGGAGGAGGAGGAGGAGGAGGAGGAGGAGGAGGAGGAGGAGGAGGAGGAGGAGGAGGAGGAGAAGGAGGCCGTCAGTCGGCTTGGGGACGGGGACGATGAGGAGAAGGAGGAGGATGAGGAGGAGGAGGAGGAGGAGGAGGAGGAGGAGGAGGGTGAGGCGGAGGAGCAGACGGAGGAGGATGAGTGAGAGAAGTGACATGAGATACGGTGGCTGTGGTGATCATGAGGATGATCCGAGGATGCCGATGATGGTCATTTTACTAGCCTGGAAGATCGCCTATCTCGATGCCGATCTCAAGGATTCCCTCAGTTCGCGAGGGTGCATCCCAAATTCAGACTGTCATCGCCTTTTGACTTGTTCATCTTATGGACAGGGATAGGCTGGTTATCATTGTACTGGCCTCCGGCCAGTGCAGCCGATCCGGGGCGCTCGCGATGGTGCCAGGGTTCGCTTGCAGATTTTCGGTTGCTTGGGTGGCCGTAGGCTGGTGGCTGACAGGTTGTTTTGGCAGGCCGATGGCATATCGGGTATTGGCTGTGTTTGCTTGTGGGTAGCTTGTTTGCGGGCTCGTTGGCTGAGGGCTCGGCTCGTTGGTCGCTAGTTGGGTGGCCCGTAACGTGAAACTTCCCCTTCACTGTTGCTCCCCTTTCATTTCCCTCTCGTCTTATGTATTTGATTGTCTTGTTGTTGCTACTGCCTCCTTTTCACAACCTTCTTGCTCTGCATCGGGGGCCTCGGGGGTCTTTGGCAGGCGTTTTCGAGCCGTCTTGGCGCCACATTGGGTCGTCTTGAGGCCGTCTTGGGGCTATCTTGGGTCTGCTGTGTGCTCGGTGTTCGTGCAGAGCTCTTAGGATGAGCGAGCGTTGGCGAAGTCCGCTGAACAATCCCTTCACGCCGTGGCTCTCAAGAGCGGACGGCGAGGGAAGCAGCTTTTCGCTTCACGGTTTTTTCCAGGGCGATCAGTGGCGCGCAAAGCGCCCTGGACGCCACGGCTCGGAAGATCTTCTGGTGGCGCGCACGTTCCCGTGCTTCTCGTTCCTGGGGCTGGCTTACTCCGAACGCTCGAGGCCCGTTGAGCTGGCGGGTTTGCAGGGGAGGGTGTCTGCAATTTTGGACTCTTTGCGTATTCTCACCAGCCCCCTCTCGGCGACAGCTTCACGCGTCTGCCCGCGACCCCCCCCCCAAAAAGTATTCTCACCAGCCCATCCAGGAAGGATCCCTTTGATAGCCGACGCGGGAAGGGAATCAGATGCGCATATAGGCAAGCGAACCGAGGAGGACGGGGAGAAGCCCGAGGACAAGTAGGGTGACCAGGACGAGGACGAGGATGGGCCAGGAGGAGGAGGAGGAGGAGGAGGAGGCGAACGATGAGGAGGACTAAGAAGCCGCCGTGGTTGCTTACTGGTGCACTTTTGGAACCCTCATGGGTTTTTTGTTGCAATTTTGGGGTTTTAGTTCTTCCTGCTTCCCCTCCTTGCTTTCGCCTGCCCCCTTCATGTGTACATGTGAATGCTATGAGCCTCGAGTTCGTACTGCTACTGCCCCCATGGATCTCACGCGCTTTTCATATCATTATGTGGGGAACTCCGATCGCAGAACTTCACGGGTTCCTGGGTGTGGGGGCCGTCTTCGTGGTTTCACGGGGGACCTCGAGGTCATCTTGGAGAGCATCGGTCACAGGAGGCTCCTCGCTTTCGGTTCCCCCTCAGGAGCTCACAAAGTCACTTCTTGGAGCTCTCTTGGCGTGTTGTCTGGGGTGTTCTGGCACTCTTCGGCCGCGTTTCGGAGGTCTGCGGGTCGTCTTGGGGCGCTCTTACGGCGTTTTGGGGTGCTCTAGGGGCTGTTTTGGGGGTCTTTTGAACCATTATCAGGGCGCTCTTGGGGTGTGTGGTGGCCTAAGACGCCCATCGGAAGCAGAACGGCGAGAATGTACTAACGAATCATGTTTATGGTGCTGATCAAGGGTTTCTGCCTCCAGGGGGGTGGGGGTCCTCGAAGATATTCGAGAGCACTTGGATATGTCTTGTGCTTCTGTCTGGTGCGCCGTCTCGCGCAAAGAACCTGTCGTGATTTCGGTGACAGCGCCAACAAGAGCGGCATCGACGCGCTCATGCATGTTGCCATAGTCGTCGTCGCGGCTCGTGGGTGGAACCGTAAATGGGCATGAAGGTGTCAGTGCGAATGAGGGCGGGATGATGATGCTGCTGCTGATGATGACGATGATGATGATGGTGATGATGCTGATGATGCTGATGCTGATGAGGATGATGCTGATGATGATGATGATTATGGTGATGTTGATGATGATGCGGATGATATGATGATGATGATGATGATGATGATGATGATGATGATGATGATGATGATGACGATAATGCTGCTGATGCTGATGGCGATAATGCTGATGCTGTTGCTGCTGATGCTGATGCTGATGGTGCTAATGATGGGGGTGATGGCCATGGTATTGCGATGGTGATGGTGATGATGCTGATGAGGATATGATACTGGTGCCGAGCTGCAAATGATGATGCTGCTGGTAATGATGATGATGATGGTGATGATGATGATGGTGGTGGTCGTGGTGATGGTGGTGGTGATGATGATGCCGATGATGCTGAGGCTGATGATGATGACGATGCTGATGCTTATGATGCTGATGATGATGGTGATGACGATGATGATAATCTTGCAGATGATGGTGGTGATGATGATGCTCATGCTGATGCTGATGCTGATGATGATGCTGTTGGTGATGATGTTGAGGATGCGGACGATGACGACGATAATGATGGTGGTGATGATGATGGTGATGATCATGATGATGCTGCTGATTATACAACTGATGTTGATGATGCTGATGATGATGCTTATGATGGTGATGACGAGAGTGATGATGGTGATGATGATGATGGTGATGGCGATGGCGATGGTGATTGTGATGGTGATGATTGCGGGGGTGATGGTGATGACGACGATGCTGATTCTGATGATGACGATGATGATGATGATGGTGATGATAATTCTGATGATGCTAATGCTGATGACGATGAGGAGGATGATGACGGTGATGCTGATGACGGTGATGCTGATGATGGTGCCGTTGATGATGATGGTGAGGATGCGGACGATGATGATCATATTGATGATGATGGTGATGATGATGATGATGATGCTGATGCTGATGATGATGATGATGATGTTGATGACGATGCTGATTATGACAAGGATGGTGATGATGCTGATGATGGTGATGACGAGAGTGATGGTGATGATGATGATCATGGTGATGGCGATGGTGATGGTGATGGTGATGGTGATGGTGATGGTGATGTTTGTGATGATGATGACGACGATGGTGATGATAATGATGATGATTCTGATGAGGAGGAGGATGACGATGATGATGCTGATGCCAGTGATGATGATTCTGATGATGATGCTGCTGCTGATGATGATGATCATGAGGAAGACTATGATCATGAGGATGATGATAATGATGATGGTGCTGCTGCTGATATTGATGATGATGATGATGATGATTATGATGATGTCGCTGCTGCTGCTGATCATGCTGCTGCTGATGATGATGATGATGATGATGATGATGCTGATGATGCTGATGCTGATGCTGCTGATGCTGATGCTGATGATATTGCTGCTGCTGATGATGATAATGATGATGAGGATGAAGATGAGGATAATGATGAGGATAAGGATAGTCATCATGCTGATGATGGACGACGACGACGAGGAGGAGGAGGAGCAGGAGGAGGAGGAGGAGCAGGAGGAGGAGGAGGAGGAGGAGGAGCAGGAGGGAGGAGGAGGAGGGAGGAGGAGAGGAGGAGGAGGAGGAGGAGAAGGAGGAGGAGCAGGAGAAGGAGGAGGAGGAGGAGGAGGAGGCGGAGGAGGAGCGGGATCTCGAACCCCAGACCCCGGATCCCGGATCTCGGACCCCAGACCCCGGATCTCGGATTCCGAATTCGGACGCCGCGCCCCCTGATCCCGGACTCTGGACCTCGGACCCCGGCTGCCAGCCTCGGGCCTTCGGACCCCAGTGCTGGGACGCTGGACCCCTGGACCTCTGGTCCCAGGCCGCGGACGCCGGATCCCGGACCTCTGATCCTGGGCTTCGGACGCTGGATCTCGGACCCATCCTCCTCCTCCTCCTCCTCCTCCTCCTGCTCCTGCTCCTCCTCCTCCTCCTCCTCCTCCTCCTCCTTCGGACGCTGAACCCGCGACCCGGGATCCTGAACCTCAGACTTCGGGCCGCGGACCCATCTCGGCGGAGAGAGCGGAGCACGGAGCGGAGCATCGGGATCCCCCCTTGCAGAGCGGAGCTCAATCGAAGCTTGAGCCCACGCTCTTTGAAGTTCGCACGCCCGATCGGCGGATCTGTTTGATTATGATGATTATGGTGATTGTGCTGGGGATGGGGATGGACGGTGATGATGCTGCTGATGATGATGGCGATGATGCTGATGATGATGACGATGCTGAGGATGATGATTCTGATGCTGATACTGAAAATGATAATAATAATGATGATGATGATCATGATGATGCGGATGATGCTGATGCTGATGATGCTGCTGCTGATGATGATGGTCATGATAACGATGATGATGCTGATGCTGATGCTGGTTAGGATGATGGTGATGAGGATGATGGTGATGTTGGTGTTGATGATAATGATAATATAGTGATGATGCTGATGATGCTGCTGCTGACGATGACGATTATGATGACGATGCTCCTGCTGCTCATGATGATTCGGATTCTGCTTATGACTCTGATTCTGATGATGTACATGATGATGCTGCTGATGATGGCGATGCTGATGATGCTTATGATGATGCGGTGATGATGCTGATTATGATGATGCTGTGTTGATGCTGATGCTGATGATGCTGATGACGATGACGATGACGATGATGCTGATGCTGATGCCGATGATGATGATGAGGAGGATGATGCTGATGGTGATGATGGTGATGATGAAGATGGCAATGGCGATGATGATGATGATGATGATGATGATGATGATGATGATGATGATGATGATGATGATGATGATGATGATGATGATTATGATGATGATAATGATGATTGCGACGACGACGAACATGATGAGGATGCTGCTGCTGATGCTGCTGATGCTGCTGATGACGCTGATGGTGGTGGTGGTTATGAGGATGCTGACGATTCTGATTATGCTGATGCTGCTGCTGATGATGACGATGACGATGATGCTGATGATATCGATGATGTTGCTGCTGCTGATGATGATTATCAGACCGATGATGGCGATGCTGATGATGCTTATGATGATGACGACTCTGATTCTGATTCTGATTCTGATTACGGTGGTGGTGTTGATGAGGATGTTGACTGCGATGATGGTGCTGCTGCTGATGATGATGATGCTGATGCTGATTATGCTGATGCTGATGCTGATGATGATGCTGCTAATGATAATGATGATGGCAACGACGACGACGACGATGATGATGATGATGCTGATGATGACCACAATGACTATGGTAATGGGGACGAGGCTGTTGCTGATTGGGATGATGCTGATGCTGCTGCTGATGCTGATGATGCTGATGATGATGATGACGATGATGATGATGAGGAGGAGGAGGTGGGTATGGTGGCGAGGAGTGAGAGGAGGACAAGGAGAAGAAGGATGAGGAGGAGAAGGATAAGGATTCCTAACCCTCATGCTCTTTCCCATATTTTTACTCATCATCCTTCCCTTCTCCTCTTCCTCCTTCCTCACTGCCCTTCTCCACTTTTCTTCCCGCCTCCCCAGCTGTCCCTTCCCATCCTCACCCTCGTTTTCATACTCCATTCCTTCTCGTCCTCTGCCCCCGCCCAAAACTTCTTGGTGGAGGCTAATGCGTGGGACTCCAGCATGATAGCGGCAAGCATCGGCCGGATTCTGATCGAGGAGCTCCTGGGGTACCGCGTCGCCTCGGGCTCAGTTCCATCGGGCGGGACAAGGACGAGGACGAGGAGGTGATGATGATCATGATGATGGTGGTTGTGGTGGTGGTGGTGGTGATGATGATGCTGATGATGATGATGGCGATGAGGATGAGCATGAGGATGACGATGATGATGCTGATGCTGATGCTGATGCTGATGCTGATTAGGATGATGGTGGTGATAGTGGCGATGATTGTGACGATGATGCTGATGATGAACATGAGGATGCAGATGAGGATGATGAGGATGACGATGCTGCTGATGATGATGATGCTGATGATGATGGTGATGACGATGAGGATGAGGATGAAGATGATGAGATGCTCCTGCTGAAGATGATGATGATGCAGATGACGATGATGACGAGGACGATGATGCTGATGATGATGTTGATGTTGATGCTGATGCTGATGATGGTGATGATGCTGCTGATGATGCTGATGCTGATGCTGATGCCGATTATGATGCTGATGCTGCTGCTGCTGCTGATGAGGGTGCTGATGCTGATGCTGATGGTGATGATGATAATTAGTATTTGTGCTTCGCGTGGTGCCCCATTCCATCGTCGTGTAGACGGTGCGGCCCCACGCCTGCGACAGCTCCCGCCCGTCTCGAGTCGACGACGCGGGCGCTTTCGCGGCTCCAGGCTGGCGAACGCAGGTGGATCGAGTCGAGTCCAGGTCCGAGCGCGGTAAGTGAGCCTTACTAGAGGCCAGAAGCTAGAGGCCAGGTACATCATTAGCGATGTACCCAGGACTCGCGCACTCGTGTGGGACTTCCTTTCAATTATTTAATCGCTTCGCTCATTCCGCCGGCCCATACAGTCTCATGTCTGCCGTTTGCCCGAGGGCCTGGTGTCAATGCGGCGCTTTGGGGGTTCCTGGGGCCGCTTGGGGGACTCCTGGGGCGCTCGGGGGGGCATTTGGGGGGCCTCCTGGGGCCGCTTGGGGGACTCTTGGGGGCCTCCTGAGGGCCCCGTGGGGGCCTCTTGGGGCCTCTTAGGGGCCTCGTAGGGGCTTCTTAGGGCCGAGGGCTCGAAATGTTGTTTCGTGTTCCCTCTCTGGGGCCCCTTTGGGGGCGTTCTTGGGGCCCTCTTGGACCGTTTTGGAGGCTTCTTGGGCCGTCTTCGAGCCCTCTTGGGCCATCTTGGGGCCCTCTTGGGTGCCTCTTGGGCCCTCTTGGGGCGATCTTGGGGGCCTCTTGGGCCGTCTTGGGGCGTCGGGAAGCCGAAAAGGTGGAAGCTCCAAAATCTCTCAAAAACCTATGGAAAAACAATGATTTTTGCCTCCGGGGGCCCTATTGGGAGTGCTCTTGGAGGCCTCTTGGGGCGTCTGGGGGCTATCTTGGGCGTCTTGGAGCGATCTTGTGGCATGTCGGACCCCTCGTGTACCATCTTGGGGGCCTCTTGGGGGCCTCTTGGCCTTTCTTGGGGCTCTCGGGGACGTCTCGGAGCCCTGTTGGTGCGCTCATGGAGCGCTCGGGGGGACCCGGCCGGGACCCGGCCGGGACCCGGCCGGGACCCGGCCGGGGACCGGCCGGGACCTGGTCGGGGTACTTTTCGTCCGGGGACCCCCAGGGGCCGCCCCGCGCGCGCGAACTAGAAAATTGTTAACCAGTTACCGGAGATCTTAGCACGCCTCTGGCCCGTTGGGCCGGCGAATTTCAGACGCCACGCCTTCGACACTCAGGACTCACGGTCTCGCTCTTGAGTTCCTCACGATTTACTCGGGAATCGCGCTACCGCTAAAGCTTTCCTCGCGATTCGTGCAGGATTGACGCTACAGCGACCCGCCTGCTCGACCTGGCCTGGCCGTCTGGGCCCGCCCGCCGCCAGTATGACAGGAGCCATGGGTGTCCTTCCAACTCGCTGGAAGAATCCATTGTGCATTCCGTCTGGGTGGAAGCACGCGCCAGGTGAGCTCTGCCAACAGGTGGAAGCCTGGGTTGGGATGTTTCTTTCAGCTCTTTGGGAAAAACATCCAGTGTGCGTCACCCTGGGGTGGAAACGGGCCAGGTACATCCTGCCAACCAGATTGCAGCAGCCAGGAGTATTTGTACACATCGCTAGGGGACGCCGCTGCGCATTCCATCTGGTTGGAAGTACTCAGCAAGGGCATCCGGCCAACAGGATGACAGGACCCAGGGTTTCCTCCCAACTCGTTGACAGAACCCATTGCGCTTCCGACCCCTCGGTGCGCAGCTGTCGTCTGCAATACCAGCGGGGGGTGCTCAAGCTGCCACGACACCGCAACAGACACGCTCGTGGCCGTAGCTCCTTTTTTTCCTCTTTAGTTTACAGTCAACCCTACGAGTAAGGATGGACAACCGTCCCAAGGGCACTCATGCATCCTTGCCTCCTCGGTCCATCCTTGGCGACTTTCGTTGGCCGCGCCCCGCTCGAAAAGCTTCGAAGTGAGCGTCCAAGGACCTTGCATCCTTATCGGACATCCCTATGATATGGGCCGACTGTATTTTGTTTTTGGGTTGCTCGTCTGTCCCAGTCCCCGAGTGATCGGGGCCCCATCCCGAACCACCCGAAGGCCCGGCCCCTTCTGAGCGCCCAGGGCGCTGCTCGGCAGACGTATCGACGTGCCACGCGCCGCGCGCCCTTGGCATGCCTGGAATTCAGGAGGGGGAACAAGACACGAGCACGAGCAAACGAAAGCACGGGAAAACACTGGGCAGGGGGGGGGGGGAAGCTGAGGAAGGGGAAAACTCAGGACATCTGGACAAACATGGGAAATCCTGGAAAGGGTGCCGATCTATTTTGTCTGCCTGGGAGAGGTCGGGGGGTTCGTGGAGGGGGGGTCATCCCAAGGTGGGGTTAGGGAACGTACCCAGCTAGATCTACTCACATTTCCTTCTTGCACGGGCCGTTTGGAGCGACTTCCCTCTGACCCCACAGGGAGAGGGAGAGAGAGGGAGAGGGAGACATGAAATGCTTCGGCAGCGTTTCATGGGAGCCTTGTGTGTCCCCATGATTACTTACATCTCCAGAGTAAATCGGAGTGCGCTATCGTCTGGTAATCGATGGGTAAGCG